TTTAAAAATTCATAACGTCCAAAATTGGTCAGTGTTAGAGTTAGAGTTTTGACACTGTTTTGGTCTACGTGGTTAGGATGCTGTAAGTTGCGTAGTATATTGAAGGACCCTTTCGGAAATATGTTTATTTTGTTGAGATTCAAGCACTGCCTGAATACCTGTTACTACAGTATAGGCAACTTTCACGCAGGACCTCATCGATTTACACAGCGTTACTACGCAGCCCCATTGTTTATGGGTTGTGCTTTATTGAGTTCATCACCGTTAGCAGTTTAAATCAGCAGAACACGTCTGGTTTATGATATCCGCTGTGTCCGCAGCTTTGCAACACTTTTGGTATAACGCAACGGTTATTGCATTACAGAAGAAAATTTCTCTCTGAAATCATATCTGCCTCTACTTTGTTTCTCCATGTTGCGTAGCATACTGACCTCTTGGTCGACGTCTGCCGTGTTGTTGCTCCCACAGGATTAGCTCACGGCTCTAGTAAACTGTGTACGCTGAACCAGTTTGTATGCTGTGTACAATGTGTACGCTAAACCAGAAGGCCAAACTCGTTTTCTTAATTTCCACATCTGCCGAGGACAGCTGTCCCTGCATGAGAATAGAGTCATTCTTTACGTAGTCCTATTTATCCCTCATTGTGTGTGAAAGCCAACATTGCTCTACGCAGTTCAACAGTCGTTCTTGCTCCTTCATTAGAACAACAGTCTTCACCCCTTACCACACTGACCTGATAGAGGCAAGGTACAGGTGAATTTTCATGTTAACAGTAACTCCCCCCACTCCTTTCTCCGTCCAAATATTGGACAAGTTTGCAAAAGCGCTCGTGTCTGTGGCAGTTCTCTTATTTAGCTCTGGCTTGATTGTTCCATTGCTGGGAACGGTAGAGCCGAAACACTTAGAATTGTCGACTTCGTGAAGTGCTTCACCTCTGTTTCACTTGTGGATCGACCGTGTCTAACGGGTTCCCAATAACTTCAGATGTCCTGGTGTTAAGGAAGAGGCAAACTTTCGCCGCTGTGTTGCTACGAAAATAGTCAAGTTAACAACCCGTTTTGCGGACTACTCATCGTATGCGTACTCCGGATCAGCAAGATGTCCAGCAGGATATCTTGAGTTGCGTCATTCCCTATAGAATGAAACGTTCATCCTTTCCAGGCTTAGCACTGTTTTGAAAAATAATTATTAGAACAATGCTGAATGGCTACAGCGAAAGCACATATCCGTGGCGAACTCAGCAGCGAATGGCGAACCATTCGGGTAGCTCTCGTTCAACTTTTACAGTAGACATGGTTCCTGCTCACATTTTTTCTGCAACAGAAGCAGTATTCTCAGGTGTCCTATGGCATTTCAAGATTTTCTATATTGTCGGAGGTTTTAAAGAAAGACGTAGCCTTGAAATCGATGGAACTGCCAAACAGGACAACTGGAATCGTCGGAATTGTTCAGTGATCCTACGCAGAGTAGAAATCTGGTCGGGGCAAGAGTACCATCCGTAAGCCTGCTTGATTCTGACGGAGCCTCCCGTCCAATGTCTGCCTCAGTTTTCCAAGATTATCAAGGAGGAAAGTTTCCCGAGAGTGTAATTAGTGTGATACCACGGTGAATCGCTTGACCCCTTTTAAATATCGGGATAATTACTTAATGCTTCCCTTCTCTGACAGACCGAGTCCCCTTTTTACGGACAGCTGTAGCGCCCCTTCAAACACTTTGCATCTGGCCCTTTCCGGCGGCCATGTCAGTCTTCCTGATTTTTCCTCCTGCAGTTAAAGTTCTCTGCCCTGCGTATCACCCTGGTTGCCTGCAAAAACATGACAGCGACGAACTACCTTTAAATTTGCTGCGATGTGTTGCAAGTCTACCTTCTTTGCCCCATTCCTTTACACTCTAAGGGCTAGAGTCTTCGTAAACCAGAGCAGGTTGGCTCTTCTCTTCCTCACCACAATTACTCGTTTTTGTATGCTTCATCGACTTCGCACTAAAGGTGGCATTAAAATAACTCTCTATCGCTATTTAATAAGCCTACCACTCCGCCCGGTAACATTTTAGTCGGTCAACATCTACCAACTGATGTGTCAGCCAGAGCGGCGTATACTGGATGTGGATAATTTTCGACGAAGTTCCCCTGCGACCGTATGTCGATCAGACTCAGTGCAGTCACCACGCCTGACACAAGTCTCGAGTAATGGGCTTCGCCATTTGTTGTTAATGAGGACGTTGTCTAGTTGATTATTTGGACTAACATCGAGGAACGCCTAGTTGATGTCTTGAATTCACTTATTAAGAAAAGGGATCCCTTGATTAAGCTGGTTGCTTTCACGTCCCGCCGATGATTATTTATAGGTTTAAAGGGTTAGTTTACGACGGCGATGGCTCCGTGGTAATTTATTACGTCTATATATCTCCTATCGTTACCTTTTTACAGCCATACCTTCTCTGTAATAATAATGGTGTTTCATAGTTTCGTACTGCATATATGCTTTCAGAACGACTTGAAAGACGAATACCTTGGTACATTTATTAGACAAATTTTTCACTTTTCGAACAAAACAGTGGTTTTAGATGTGATATTTTAGTAGATAGGTTTGTTTCGTGCAAAAATAGTTTAAACAGTTTATACATCTGCTCCGTTTATGACAGATATTGTGGAGACGTTGGGTAAGCATTGGACTGGCGAGTGGCACTATTATCCTTCACTGGATTCGTGCCCTAAGTCACCCGTCATCGGTAGAGGCCTGAGAAACTTAATGTAGAAAAATATCATCTTGACGGCGTTTGTTTTTAAGTGACATGTTTCCCGTTGCACTTTTTCTGATCATGTCTGACTTTAGGTGATGGCCCTTCTCATAGATCTCGGCATTCGAGTAAGAGATCTTGAAACCGAAGGCAACAAGAAGGCTACACTGGAATGCAGCGATATAATATATACGGGTAAAGCTGATGTATGCACCTATTTGTCGCGGTAACATTGCCTTGCACAGGCAAAGAGTTTTTCGTTGGCCTGACCAAGTGGACGAACTACGAAGGAGCGGTTGAAGTTGCCAAGACCTTTCCGGACTCACCAGTTACGGCGATTAAAGTGGACGGGCCAAACCATTTAAAAAACTACGTCTCTTTGGCAGCGCCAGGAATATTTGCGGTCGGGCAATCTGATGAGGCGCGGAAAATAATTAAAGTAAATGCGATTCTAAGTCGTTTGCAACGCTGCTGTTAGTTCTAATTCTTAGAAAGTTTTCCTTTTCTTTTACTCTAGTTCCTGCCTCGCTTCTCCTCGTATTTACCCTACAGGTTTGCATGCTTTTACACGACGCTTCGGCACCGGATGTAATTTTATTCATACGCGATACACTACAACGTGACACTGTTGATCGCTAACAAGAACTTTGTGCGATCTGCCCATATGGGAAGTACTTCGAAACACTTTCCGTATGAAAAATACCAGTCGACGACAGCACAGTATTTTTTCTGTGACTGCCTCATTCCGCTAAAGCACAGCTGAAATATCTGAAGTACTGTGTCAGATATGACAGGGTTTTCTCATTTCCGTGTTGTGTAGAGCGTTAAATGTTTCGGGAAACTTTGTGACATGTAACAGATTTGAAGGCGAGTAACAAATGTAAGTTGTTTTTAGAAAGACCGTAAAGAACATGCTGTTTCGTTTGCATCTCTCTATTGGATTTTTTGTCTTGCTTTCGCATTTGCTGTTCGTGTTTTCAGAGAATAGAGCGAGAAGCGGCGTACAAGTACCACATTATTACGTTAGACGACGAAACAGGTGCCAACTGTCTGAACGTGAACGGCACTTTGATGTACAGAGGTGACGGGCAACAATCTGAGGTAGGCTTGCGTCGTTGAAAGGAAACGTTCGTTGTTCTTACATGTTGAATTTGCAGAAAATTCTTAATCTTACGGAATTCGAGCGGTGTCCGTTAGACATGCGGGAAATGGGAAACTGCGGTGGCATCCTTTCGCAGTACTGTTTACTATTGAGGAAAATTAGGCTGTCGAAGAGCGTCAATGAACTATGAGACTTTTAACTGGCACATGCAGTCATATCGTACTTCTCATCGTTTCTGCCTTGTTTGATCGAATTGATCTTGCTATTCAACCTGGTTGTCGAACTTATTACTGTTTATTTGGAGCTTAGCGCTTTGGCCTCTTACGGGCTCAAGTTTTATTAGATATTTTTTTACTGTTTATTAGATCATGATTATGACATTTTACACCTTTTTTATGCAGTTATCTTGTTTACCCTATTATGCATTGTTGAGCATATACCTTTGCTTCGTTTTATCACTTTATATACCCTGTTCTTTCAGCCACGTTTTAGCTGTAGCTGTCATGTATTTTTTTTTATTCTTGCGCTAGATTTAAAATTTGATCTGGCCTTGCAGTGACGCATTTTGCTACCTTTAAGAACTGTGTGTAGTTCTTATTTTTTGTGTTTAGAGAAATTCATTTTTGAGTTCGTAGGCGGTTGGTGTCAGTCAGTCACCTTTCGATCGCAGAGCCCCAGCGTCAGAGAGTGCCTCCAACATTCGCGATTCTGTGCTAACGTCTGAACTTCAACATAAGATATCCTAAGCCAGGATCAGAGTCCGTCCAGGCACGTGCCTCACGGCATTATCGGCTGTGTCAGAAATCTTCACCCAACACGGCTGTACACCGAAGCTTTGTCGGATACCTGAACTCCAGAATCTGTCAAGTCGCGTGTGCCTAGGCGATTGGTCTTGCAAGTTTATTTAAGTCATATTTTCTCTCATTGCCATGGGCGACAGGCTTAATGATAATTGGCTTAAACACGGGCAGCTTCGCCTTACTCACTTCTACCTTCGTCACAACGGTTCGTGATGGTTCACACAAACCTCACTATAATCATCATTTTCACGTATAGCTTAGACAGCTTTGCTGAGCCTGCGCTCTCAGTTGTCGGAATTCAGGCAGGTTCTGATCGCCGACGTTTTGCAGTCTGCTTCAGCTGTCAGAAGCCCCTGCGACTCTTGGTAAGCAGCACTACCACAACCAAGCGTGTGATTGCATCAATACAGTTACAAGCAGGTTCCCAAATATTGCGCTAAGTTTCATCCACAATCCGTCTTCCCTTATCATGCAAGACTGGCAACGCCGAATTTATTGTAGCTTCATATTTTCTACGTACTGGCAATACCGCTTTTCGGTGTGGTTTCGTGTAAATTCGGGTTTCATGGAAGCGCAGCGGTGATTTCTCATCCAGTTTACAGCCAATCGGAGCATATTCGAATCCGGTACCATATAGGAAATCCTTTAAGTTGATGAAGTTACCTTGAGAGGAGTATCAATAAATTCGATAGAATGGCTGCGTACAGCCGCCTCAGTTTGTAAATTTGTCTTCGTTTCGTTCAATCGGGTAATTATCCGCTCGTATTGCAGTGATCTAATATTCGAAAAATTTTAATTCGGAATAGTCACATTTGGAGACCATGGCAACTCTCCGTAAAATTCAGCCACCTGCTACTCATGCTATTGACGCCATCGAAAATCATACCGGCTCGGTCGTCGCCCGGGTTACCAAGG